TTTTTTTTTTCCTGTTCCCGTTTTTTTTTCCTGAACCCAAGGCGTGGTGGTGTGCCTTCCCCCTCCCCCATGTGTGTTGGGGGGAGGGTATCCTGAATGGGGTGGTAGATTTTTCTTTTTTCTTTTTTTAAATACTCTGGATAAGGGTACACGAAAAATTAAAAGGGAGGGGTTCCACTTGGATGCAACCAGATGGGCTGCTAGGGTTTGGGGCTAGGCGAAGCTCATTGCATAAGCAGTGGAGTGTGTTCTTGTCCTCCCTGTACTACTATCAGTGGAATAATAACCCTGTATCTCTAGCTGTCTTTGGGGGTTAGAATTAGACTTGAAGGTGGCCATAAAGCCTTTCAAGAGAAAGTTTTGCTTTTTGCCAGCCTGTCTTCTGGGATTGGGCTTGTGGTTACCCCACCCCCTGACATACACACACTTTTTCCCCTTTTGATACTGGGTGTTCATATTAATTTATCTCCAAGTTAGGAAGGATATTAGAAAAGTTGAACCTTGGGTTTTTTGAGTCTTGAGTCAGTTTCTGTCTTGCTTATGCAACCTTTCACCCCTTATAAGGGGTGGTTTTCTTTTTTCTTTTTAAAGATGAATGCATATTTGTTGCTGAATTTGTTTTTGTTTTTTAAAGCACAATTTTATTGATATAACCTTGTAGATAATTTGACTTTGAATTCAGAGACCCGTCTCATTATCTAAAACAATTTAAGGTCTGAAGGCAAGTTCTTTGCCCTAATTTTTGCTTCTTTCATGGCATTTTGCCCACTTCTTTGTAGCATTCTGATCTTAAAGATATCCTCTCAGTTGAATATATACTTCACCTACTTGAGAGAACATTCAAGTGGAGCAATCCTTGTCCCTGCCCATGTTATAACCAACTCTGATGGGGTTATTCTGACCTGGAGTCACGTTTTCTCATCCTTTCCATGTGTTTAGATCATGTTTTCCCTTTGAGAAGCATCTCGCATTGTTTTGATTCCTTTACCATCCATTTGTCAGAATGGCATTTGCCGTTGGGTGGTTCCACCATTCCTTTTCCTCTCCTGCAGAGTTTCCTACACATGAGAGTTTTTAGTTGGGCAGTTTTAAAACCCCACTGATATCGAATGAAATTAAGTCTAATGTGGCAGAAATCACATTGAAATGTGGATTTTTTTTTTTTTTTTGAGGGGGGTTGGGGTTTTCTGTCTTCTCTTCTCCCCATCCCCCCCATGGGGTGTATTGGATATCAACTTCCTCCACCTCCCCCCCAGGTTAACCCCCCCACTCTGCCCTCCTCCCGTTCCCTACCCCCTTCCTCCCCCCCAGCCAATGGAGATCTTCGTGGATGATGAGACGAAGCTGACGCTGCATGGATTGCAGCAGTACTACGTGAAACTGAAGGACAACGAGAAGAACCGGAAGCTCTTTGACCTTCTAGATGTCCTTGAGTTTAACCAGGTCAGTTGTTCAAAGTCCAGTTAGGGGTGGGCATTGGATTCTTCTCCAGCTGTAACAGAAACCTGATTAAGTACCTTTCGATTGAGGAAAGCATCTGCAATGTAGGAGAATGCTAAATGAGATTATAAATGTCTTTTTGGTCAAATTGTTGACCTCTGATGTGTACCAAGGGACAGAGAAAGAGCAAGGCGGGAGTGCTTCTCCATTACTGTCATGGACAGGTGCTAAAAACATAGAAACCTCAACCAGTAAACCTCAAAAACTAGAAACTCAAGAGTTTTAAAATTGAAAGAATTTCAAACCATTTTGAGCCCGTTATTGACAAAGTGACTGCAGCTGTGCACTGGCTCCCAGGAATTTAGAAAAGACTGCAGAACTAGGGATATCGCTAACAGTTGTCATCAGGTGGATCTTGGCTGAAAACAATATCAGAATGATGTTTGCCTGTGTTTATCAACTATGGGTAGGCATTCAGCTGTGTGGATCATACTAAACCATGGTTAACATTGCGAAGGACTTCTCTGATGTGGTGCTATAAGGTCAGCACTGGACTGCGAACCACAAGCTGGCAGTTCAAACCCCTTCCTTGAAGGGGAAAACTTATATAGGGTTGCTATGAATTGGAACTGACTCGACAGCACTTAACAACAACATCGTGAAGAATGAGAATTTCAGAACGCTTACTGTTGTTCAGGTAGCAAGGAGTTACTGTGCTTCAAAGTCGGCAAAGGTGTGCAGCAGAGTTGTATTTTTTTTTACTTACTAAGTCTGTACTGAAAAATAATCCAAGAAGCTGGACTATATGAAGAACAAGACATCAGAACAGGAGGAAGACTCAGTCTGTGCTAAGCAGATGACAGTTTTCTTTTACTGATAAACTACAGTCTTCAGTGTAGTTTACGCCATAATGTCAAGAAAATGGAAATATTGACAAGTGGGTGGGGATTGAAGTTTCTGAAGATTTTATCTATTTGAATCAATATCTGTCCATGGACAGCAGTCTAATCAAATGGCATTGCATTGGGCAAATCTGCCTTAAAAGACCTCTAAAGTCTTAAAAGGCAAAGATGTCACTTTGATGACAAGTGCATCTGGCCTGTGATAACCAATGATCTCATCAAACGCATGTGACGATGATGATGTTGTTTAGTACTGCGGAGTTGGTTCTGACTCATAGTGACCCTGCACAGGGTTTCCGAGACTGTAAATCTTTACAGGAGCAGAACACCTCATCTTTCTGCCATGGAACAGCTGGTAGTTTCGAACTGCTGACCTTGAGGTTGGCAGCCCGACTCATAACCACTATGCTACCAGAGTGATAGCTACACAAATAGAATATATCCTTTGAGTTGTGTAGACAAAGAAGGAACAAAACAGGCTTAGAAGAAATACAAGTAGAATGTTCTTTAGAAGCCAGGATGGTAAGACTGCCTTTCTTTGGTCATGGCATCAGGAAAGACTAGTTGTTAAAGTGGAGGGTCAGTAAAAACAAGGGAAACGCTCAGTGAAATAGACTGACACCATAGGTAACGGTGGGCTGAAACATCAAGGCTCACAGAAATGGCACAGGAGTTGGGCAGCATTTTGTTCCTTGTATGTAAGGCTGCTGTTCATCAAAGCAGACTCATTGGCACCTAACAGTAGCAGGGTTCTTAAATACTTCCTCTTAACACTATCCCCTAAGGAGAAGCATTGTATCAGGTTGCCTGCTGTATAGTTTATTTGCACTAAAATCTACTTTTCAAAACTAAAATAGATACCTTGGGTTTAATTTTTTTGTGAACAGGAGTACTGGTCATAGTCTTTTCTAGATTTTACTTCTAATTTTTATTACTTTTTTATGAGCTAGTCTCATCTCCTGGCATGTCTGATTGTTTTGGCTACTGTTCTCTGTGTCTTTTCAGAGGACAATCTGATGTTAATGTTGAGTCAGTTGTTAAGTGCTGTCCAGTTGGTTCCGACCCATAGCGACCCTGTATAGGGTTTCCAAGGAGCAGCTGATGAGCTTGACCACTGACCTTGCAGTTCGAATGGCTTTGCAATCTGGCGCATTAACCCACAGTGCCAGTGACTCATAATCCCATATGTGTAGACTAAAAATCACTCCATAGAGTTTTTATACCTTTGACTTTTCAGAAGCAGCTCACCAGGCCTGTCTTCTAAGGCACTTCTGGGTTGACTCAAACCACTTAACTTTTCGGCTAGAGTGCTTAACTGTTTGTGTCTCTTATGGATCTGAGTCCAGTCTAAAATATAAGCTAAACTCCTTGTTGTCAAATCTGTTCTTGAAGGCAAGGTAGAACTGCCTTCAAGGCATTTAATCTTTACAGAAGTAGACGGTCACTCCCCCCTCCCCAGAGTGACTGGTGGGTTTGAACTGTCAACTTTTAGGTTAGCAGCCGGGCACTTGACCACTGTTCCTCCGGGGCTCCTATTGAGGCCAGTCTATTCTGGTAAAATCAGAGCCAAAAGAAAATCTAAATTATTTAGAGCAGAGGGAGAAAATTGGTAGGGAATGAGGGACTGGAAGTAATTCCTTTAAAGATGAAATTAGTGAAAATTCTCTTGAACATATCCTATCCTCTCTTACACACATACACATATCCTCTCTCGTGGACCCACAACTCCCCACCACATATACAGGTGGTGATCTTTGTGAAGTCTGTGCAGCGTTGCATTGCCCTGGCCCAGCTTCTGGTGGAGCAGAACTTCCCAGCCATTGCCATCCACCGTGGGATGCCCCAGGAGGAGAGGTGAGTGAAAAATGGGAGGCGATTCTGTATCCTTCGGAGACAGAGAACATTGAGAGAAGAGCATTTGAACGTTTTTCAAAATTTTCTTTCTCACAGGCTTTCTCGGTACCAGCAGTTTAAAGATTTTCAGCGACGAATTCTTGTAGCTACCAACTTATTTGGCCGAGGCATGGACATTGAGCGGGTGAACATTGCCTTTAACTATGACATGCCGGAGGATTCTGACACCTATTTGCATCGGGTAAGCTCATTCTCCTTTCTTGCGCCCTTATTTTCTGCATCTTTTCATACCTTACATTTAATCTCTCTAGGGTATCTTTTTCCTCTTTTGAGAAGTACTGACTTCTGTTTCCTTCCAGGTGGCCAGAGCAGGTCGGTTTGGCACCAAGGGCTTGGCCATCACATTTGTGTCAGATGAGAATGATGCCAAGATCCTCAATGATGTTCAGGACCGCTTTGAGGTCAATATTAGTGAGCTGCCTGATGAAATAGATATCTCCTCCTACAGTAAGTGTTGATCTCATGAGCTGTGGCCACTTTGAACTTTTTGTTCTTTAGTGTATTTGTGTTGAATCTCTTTTAAATGATTATAATCCCCTCCATGTACCATCAGTTAGCAGTATTTCTCTCTAGTCACTTTAGCTCTTTTTTTTTAAACACTCAGGCATATATATATAATAATTTACACCACCAAAGGGTACATTCTGCAAGCCTCCCTCCTGGCCGCCATCTCTTTGTCTCTCACGTCCAATGAATCTAGAGTCCTCAGCTGCTCCCCCTCTCAATGTCCCCATTTCTGCCTCCCATCTCTGGTGTGGTTTCTTCTCTGGATAAGATCTTGAATTCCACTTGTGCTCTTCTCCCTTGATGGTTCTAGAGTCCTGTGTTTCTGGACTGTAAGATTAATTACTCCCTTGTTTTTGTTACAAAACTTCTACCTTTACAATTGTGACAGTTGCAATTAAGTCATGATAACAGTTACTCATTATTGAATCAGAAGAATCTTAGGCCCATTTCTTTTAACCAGACCTATCTAGACAAGATGAATACTATTCAGTGGGGACTCTTTCTTTCCCCACACACTATTAAACTTTATTGCCCCCTCATTTTAGGTAGCCAGTGTCGAAGTTGCCCAGAAGTTCCATTATCTTTTAATTCATTTTTCCATGAACTTTTTGAAGCCCTTTTGTATGTGTGTCTACAACCTTTTTCCTTTCCATACCACATTCTAACTGTCATATTTTCTCTTCAGTTGAACAGACACGATAGAGGATTCACTCATTCTGGAATGTGACAGTCCCTCTCCAGGAGCCAATATCAGGCGCGGGGGTGAAGGAGACACTACTGCCACCTACCCCGACCCCCGCACCCACGCCTCCCCTCTTTTGCATCACCACCACCACACCTGAGTCCCCAGTCCTGATTTATCAGACTTTTATAACAAAACTAAAAACGAAACACATGTGTCTGTAGTATCTGTAAGTGCTCCATCACTTTATTAGATTTGGGGTGAAGTCGTTCTAGGGCTTGATCCAGAACCAGAACCTTGTTTGGGACTGAGAGAGGCCCAAGCAGACTGAAGAGGCCCTGGCTCCCCATTGCCTTCCAGTTCGTGGTCCATTGTGGAGGGCTCATTTTTCATTTTCTTAGTGGTGGGAGTAAGACTGGGATGTTCATGATTGAAGGGTTTGTTCCGGGTGGTGTGCAGTATTTCCAGGGTTGGAGGGTGAATTGAGAATTGCGGGAGCTTAGGCGTCTCCTTTCAGGCTTTCTCGGTGTCGCCTCATCTGTTCCTTTAACTTTTGTATCTTGAGCACCAGGGCTTGAGCCTCCCAGGCGCCCTCTTGCCCTTCCAGCATTGCCTGGTACAGCTCCAGCTGCTGCTCCAGCAACTCCTCAGCTTGGGCCAACTCAGCTGTGCGCCGGGGCCCAGGACCCTGGTGAAGGGTAAATTGGGAAGAGAGAACCTGTCCAAAGGAGCTGTGACTCTTGATTAGAAAGTCAGGAGTCTCAACTTAGGCCTTCTCTCTTTTTAGCCTTATTAGTTGAAGGTCATTTGAATTGGGGAGCCAAGGTACTATCTTGGGCATAATCCTCACTGACCCAGGAACTTTTAAGAATTGGATCCTTGGTGTAGAAGTCCAGGGTCATGGAAAGGAGAGGACTAGCTGTCCCTCCCCTCTAAGAAATCATTAACTGTTACTTGCAGGGGAAATTCCTGTTCAGGAACTTTGTGAACTGTGCTGCTTTTGGGGAGGGAGAAGAGCTGGGTGGGGGTAGGGCAGCCCAGGAGCTGAAAGGTGGAACTCTGGCAACAAGCTCCAGGGATCCGGGAACTGTCTTGGTGGGATTGAGGAGGCTTCCCCCCCACCCAGCATTAGCCCTCCACACCCTCCATTGGTGTCACTTACCCTAGTGAGTGACCGCATCTTTCCACTGTTCGAGGAGGAGCTGGTCTGCTCGCCTGTGCTTGCCTTAGGGCTCTGGGAGCAACAACCCCGGGAAGCCTGGGGGGCCAGGAGCCAGGAGGGCAGGAGGCGCCAGCAACAGTATCGGGAGAGCCAAGGCAGAGGGAGCACCATGGTGGTGAGGCCAGGAGCTGTCAGAACTGCCCAGTAGCCACCCGGAACTGGCTCCCACTGGGCTTTGGGCCTTGCTTCGGTGCCCAACCCTGCCTAGGCCCCCGCCCCCGCCCCTGCCCCGCTCCACTGCCCCCACCTCCCAACCTGGCCCCAGACAGAGTTCAAGAGCTGTTGCTGATGTGAAAACCATTGCTGCCCGTTTAGGCAGAACTTGTTTCAGAGCACTAGTGCCCAGGCAAGCACACCTTGTATCTGTTTTGTTTAGCTTTTCTCCCTTATCTTTGCAAGGTAGAAATTATATGAAAGGAAGAGACTACGGAGTTGGTAAAAAAAAAATACTCCATTAACATTTAATACCATTTTTTCCAAGAATTTTGAAACCCCCTTGTATTAGTTTGCAGATGAAACTGACTCAGAGGGTTTCATTCAATATTTTCTGTTCAGGCAAAAGAGGTTGGGGCCAACTCTAGGCCAGATGTGCTTAAGGCTTGACACTTGGTTGGTGAAAGCCTGGAGGATTCACATCTAGGTCTGTTGGGTGCCATCTAGTCAATTTCCGATTCTAGTGATCCCCATGTGCCAGTAGAACTGCCCCAGGGGTTTCTAGGCTGTAATCTATAGAAACATACTCTGGAGTTGCTACTGGATGGTTCCAAAAGTGTCATCCTTTTCAGTTAGCAGGCGAGTATCTTTCTGTTGTGCCACTGGGCTCCTTGTATCCTGGTGTACCCATTTCCAAAGCTCATAGTCGGACCTGGTTCCTGTATTGATACCCCCATTTCCCTTCTTCCTGGCCCAGAGTTTTCTTTTTACCTTTCTATTTAGTACTGCATGTCACTGGGGTTTGCTCTCTAGTAGATCTAGACAGCTTTGTATCAATTGTAACTCCTGACAGCTTGAACATTAATACAAGGTTCAAACTTGAACTACTAAACTTCCAAATACTCAGCACGAGGTCAAAAGCTCTCCTCTACACACAGTGCATATGGCTCTTGTGCATAAATGTTGGGACTTGAGTGTGTTCTGAAGTGGTGTCCTGTTGGGCCTGAAGGGCATAGTGGCATACAACCCTATGAACAGATGATTCAGAAGGGAGAGAATATTGGGAAAGGTGAGTTCTCAGAAAAAAACAGTCCCCAGAAATCCAGGATTACTGGAGTGTGAACAACTGTTAACTAGCAGTCTATCTTTGGGACATCCCTCTATTCACAGGGAAGGTGGCCAAAGACCACATACTCTGGATTAGCTGACTTCAGTGAGGAAAGAAGTACTGCTGTGTTAAGTTTTGAAGGAGAGGAGATATCATTCATTCCCACTGATAGGATTATATATGACTTGTTGACTTGCAGTGTATACACTTAAAGTTTTATTGGAACATGAGAGACCCAAACTAACAACAAAGTAACATTGAAGCTAAATTAAAAAGGGCTTCAAAAAGTTTGTGGAAAAATGGAATTAAAAGCTAATGGGAGAATAAAACAAGATGGTGGAGAGGGTAGAAGAACAGTGAGGAGCTCTGTCAGCAACACAGAATACAAAACCAAGCAAGCTCAGGGGATGGTGCCAGAACTCTGAACCACATATAAAAGAATATTTAGAAAGTTGGAAGGCTTACAGCCAGTGGAATTTGTAGCAGAAGCAAGAAATCCAGTGCTTTCTAATCCAAGGTGCTAATCTTGGGCGAGACTGAACGGGGGAAGGCTTTGAGCAGCCATGGATGCCTGACAGAATCGCAGAGAAAGGTGTGGACATATTTTGTATATGTTCATTGGTCTCTCGCTGTCTGTGCACCTCCAGTCTGGTGACTAGAGGGGGTGTCTGAGCAAGTGGACACCCCACTCCCCAGAGGGTTCTATTATGCATGCACACAGATCGCCTCAAAATTTAAAGGGACCATTTCCACTAAAAACCAAATGGTAGCACAAAATGGCCACAGCCAGTCCTGAACTGTTTATAACTAGGAAAAAGGCCTGAATTGGGGTTGTGGAGTGGGACAAGCAGACTAAAAAGGAAACAGGCTGAAAATTAATCCTGAGGTCATAATGACCAACAGTGGCATCCTGAAATTAGGAAAAAGGGTGAAAAGGGAAGCCCCATCTCTTGATCACATCTGCCTAGAGGCAATCAGAAAGCATAAAAAATACCCAAACACACACCCATCTAATTATTAAGGCCACAGCTTACTACAGAATATGTGATCATCAATCAGCACATGTCCAGAAACTAGATAAAGGTAGACCTGTACTCCATAGTGGAAGGGAGGGCAGGCTTTGGAAATGCCTGAGAAGAAATTCAGAAAAATGATTATAAAATATATCAAAACACTACAATGGAGTTGAGAAAAATAAGTCAGGAAAGTGCTACAGGAACAATTAAATAAGATAGAAACCACATTGGAAACAATTCAGAACTTACAGAAAGAGGTCCAAATGATTAATAATAGAATATCAGAAGTAGACAATACACTGAAAGGGCAAAGGAGTAGAATTGAAGAGATGGAAGCCAGAACTAGTGAGCTGGAAGATAAATCTCTCAATACTATAAGATAGAAGAGCAAATACAAAAAAGGATAAAAAAATCTGAAGGTCTAAGATTCATGTTGAACAACATGAAGAGGAATAATTTAAGAATTATCAGTATTCTGGAACAGGAAGAATCACACAAGTCCACAGAGGACATAGTTGAAGAGCTTCTGGAATAAAATTTCCCTAATATCCTGAAAAGCGAAAAGATAAGCATTCAAGAAGCTCAATGAATCTTAGGAAGGATAGACCCTAAAAGAAAATCACCAAGCCATATAATAATCCAGCTCTCCAAAATCAAAGATAAGAACAAAATCCTGAAAGCATGTAGGGAAAAGAAGTGTAACATACAAAGGCAAGTAAATCAGATTAGGCTCAGAACTCCCATCAAAAACCATGCAGTCAAGAAGGCAATGGGGAGACATATATAAAACCCTTAAAGAAAAAAACTGCAACCCAAGAATCCACTACCCAGCAAAGCTGTCATTCAAATACAATGGTATAATCAAAACATTCCAAGATAAACAGAAGCTAAGGGATTTTGCCAAAGCCAACACTGTGCTGTAAAACATCCTAAAGGAAGTTCTGTGGACTGAGAACCAACAAGAACAGACAATAACCAGAGATTGATGTATGTGGTAGTATCACCTGGAACTCAATCAAATGGAAGAATCAAGAAGAAAACAAAACTATAAGAACAAATTCAGAGAATCTGGGAGGTCAGTCTAGGATCAAAACAATTAGTGTGAAAGAAGGTAAACACAGGAACAGAGATCCAGGTGGTGAGATCAGATAGATTACAGGATAAAATGGACTGTCTTAAATAGAAGGAAACGTTAATGGAATATAAGGTTAACTACAACGGTGGGGTTCGGCGGGGGGGGGGCGCGGCGTTGTGAGGGGCTAAGGGAAAGGTGGAGGGAGGCGACAGTAGAGCACAGGGTAAGGGCAGACACATAGTTCGGGTGTTGGGGAGAGCAATACAAGGGAGAGAAGGTGGAAGAACAAGGTAGATTGGGGAACACTGAGACGGGTTTGCATGGGCTAAGTGGAACAGAGGTAAATAGTGATGCATGCTCAACCTTTGAACAACAGGGCTCTGTGATACAGGGATCTAGGCATAGTTTGAAGATGGGAAATAATACTAAAATGCTTGACTCGCTTATGAATATTGGTTTCCCTACTATTGTAAAATAGACACTTGAGTGGGATAGAAAGGAATGTTGGGACACATGATTACAGAAAACTTGTAAGCCTGTCTTCAGCCTATAAATGATTGGAATACCTAAAAAGGGTTCTAGAACTTGCCCAGTGAAATAGGCCTTTTGCGGAGCCTTTGCAGAGTATAGGACATTAGGTGGAATCCTGAGTCCCATCCAGAACCTTCTGAGGTGGGACATTCCCACTAGCAAGGACAAGCAGACCACTCTGGAACAGCTAGAGTGACAGAAGATACATCTTCAAAGAAAGAGCATTAAGGAAAACCCAAAACAAAAATGTCAGTATGACTGGCTACTATAAGAATAAGCAAGCTGTTTGCTGGGAAGCCATCAAGGCAAGCAATCAAGTTCCATCAGGACAAACTCTCCTCTAAGACTGAAACTCAAAGGGAACACATGAGCAGGCATGTATGCTTGCTGGTGACCACATTGGTCTACTGGTGAGTGGAAGAAGGGGGAAGGCAGCAGTGAAGAAATGGGCTGAGTTCAACCACGGTTCATAGACTCCCACTGACCTGGAGATGAAAGAGAGAAGAGGAAGAGTTAGTTGGTGCAAAGTGTGGTGAGACCTGAGGACACCTGAGCCCATGGACAAGGACATAGCCACAGAGGGCTAGAGCTAAGAGTGAAATATCCAGCTGATCTGAAGTGAGGGGAGGAGATGCACAAGAACACCCAAACTTGCAGATAGTACCCATTTGACCTAGCCTCCATGGCTTGATAATCAGAACTCGACTAGAGAAAGATTAAAAAACAAACAATTTTTGATAAAGGAAACAAGGGTAAATTGCTACAATTTGATGAACCTGACCTATACTCATGGAGGTAGTAAGTCTAAATACCAACAGAGAGGGAAGGAATCTTTACATCAAATATTGATGCTATCCCTTCTGTACACAGGGTAGATAGGGACGGGCAATTTAGACATTGGCTACCTAAAATGTTGTTGTTAAGTGCCGTAGAGTCGGTTCCTACCCATAGCGACCCTGTACAGGGTTTCTGAGGCTGTAAATCTTTACGGGAGCAGAACGCCTCATCTTCCGCGAAGCGGTTGGTAGTTTCGAACTGCTGGCCTTAAAATTCGCAGCCCGATTCGTAACCACTACACTACCAGAGCTAAAATGAGGGAATGATAAAGGCACGAAGTGACTGGTTTACAAGGTTTCAAGAGGGAGTTTAGTTTAAGTGTGTAGGGGAAGATAGAGTCCTCACTGAATAGTTTGAATCTTGTGTAGCTGGGTTTGGTGAAAAGAGATGG